TTTTCTTTTTCCTGTGTACCAAGGGATGCTAAGGGTTTCTTGCCGTTACCAGTCCCTGGGTTACAGCACCATTTTCAGTTGGCTTTAACACACTTCATAACCTGTGAAACAATTGCCTGTCTTAAATCTCCTGTGTTAAATATTTGGAATGATTTATATTGTTTGTGTTGGACCCTGACTGATGTACATACTGCGTCTACCCACAGTGGCCAATTTATATCCGATAGTAAAGAGGCATAAAGAAAGCCTGTTTTTGATACGTTTCTTAAATTGCCTGTGTTAAAACAGGCTTTCTTTCTTATCAAGCAAATATCTTTTATAAGTTTCTGGCTTAAACAATGATTGTAATTTTTAAGTGGGTTTAATTTATGGGAGACTGGACTGCTTGCCTGGAGTTTTATTTGCTGATGGGCGTTACTCCTTTTTATTCTCTTAATAATGAATTACCTGTCCTTATACTTATTTTGATTTAAGTGCTTGATTTTTATTGTCACTTTTAATTTTGTGTTACAAAGATGCGATTGTCATTGGCTATATAAATTTGTTTTTTTCTTTCCTTTCTTTTTTTTTTTTTTTTTTTTGAGATGGAATCTCACTCTTGCCCACGTCGGAGTGCAGTGGCATGATCTCGGCTCACTGCAACCTCTGCCTTCTGGGTTCAAGCGGTTTCCAGCTAATTTTTGTATTTTTAGTAGAGACAGGGTTTCACGATGTTGGCCAGGCTGGTCTCGAACTTCTGATCTCAAGTGATCCATCCTCCTTGGCCTCCCAAAGTGCTAGGGTTACAGATTTGCGCCATCGCGACCGGCCATAAATTTGTTCTTAACATTTAAAAGTTATTTAACTGCTGACATTTGCAAAATGTACAGCATTTCAATAAGTAACATTTACATGAGGCATTGAGAAAGTGAGAAGAATTAAATTGGGAAATATCCTAAATGATGGCTGAGTTCAGCCAAATTGTTTGAGGTGTCTTCACAGTCTTTTATATATAATCTGTGACAGATGAGGGAACTTACTGCTTTTTGAGCTCTGTCAGATGGAGGAGAAAATCCCACAATAAATGACTTCCTTTCACTTTGCTGGAAACATCTTTGCAAAGAACAGAGGTAGTGAGTAAATGTAAAGTCAGAGGCAGACATGCACATGGCCTTGGGTGTTTTGACCTTGGAGACTGCAATGAGAAGGGAGGTGTAGTCCATTTTATGGGACTTTGGGTGGTAGTGAATGTTTTCAGTAGAGAAGAGGAATGTGTATTTCAGATTAAACAAGAAAACTGCCATTTTCCTCTTCTGTAACTTTTCTAAATCTTGATAACATTTTGAATATGATACTAAAGTATTGAGATTAATTTTGGTTATCAACATCTGTACTCATGTGAGATACTGGGTTAGTATATGATGCCCATATCTAAAACCTCAAAATCCAAAACCGACATTTGAAGTAATCCTGGAAATAAATAACAGCCATTTGCCTGACTTAGTATCCTAAGATGGATGGCCCTTCCAATGGCCATTTTTTATTTTAGCTACTAATGAGTATTATTGAGTCACTGACTAATTTTGAAGAGCATTTTGGTGAATTATAATTGGGGCGGTGATTTACTGAGTTTGAAGACTGATAAGCTGTTCCTTAGCCCTGTAATTGATGTAGAAGCAGAGAAAAGCATCCTGATGATCAGCGTTTCCTTTATGTGAGGCAGGGGAATCAAAAGCGTAATCCAGCCAAAGTGGAATGTTGTTTTTGTTAGCCATTTCTGCATTTTACTTTTAGTAAAAATGGCAGGGAAATGTGAACTGCCACAAAACTTTGGAAGGGAAGTCTCTTGTCTGTATCCCTTTTGATACTCAGTATATTCAAACATCATCCATCACAGCTATTCCCTGGTGTTAAATGGTTCATCATAGTCAGTGATCCACAGAAGTAGTCTGGGTAGAGGGACAGAATTTAGAATCATGGACCAGATTTACAAGCCATGTAACTGAGTATTCCTAGAAGGCCAAAATCTGGTTCTTTGTATTCACTGGTTTATTGGAAGTTTGGATATGTTTATCCATCTGTGTTTGTGAACCCTCTGGAGGAAGGAGCAGAACAGTCTAACGTGTAAATAAGAAAAACTAAATCCAAATAGGCCCACAGATACATTAGGACTTCATTTTTTACAAAGAAACTGGGTATTAAGACTCCTGCTACTGCCTTTTATAAAGAAGTTACGGCAGACCGGACTACCTTCTTTCCTGTATCATTGCAAATGGATTGTTGGCTTGGGTATTGGCTTTATTTTTGTTTCTTTTGAATATTTTTCTCTGTAAGATAGCATGTGTGTGCATATGTGTGTGTGTGTGTGTGTGTGTGTGTGTGTGTGTGTGTGTGTTCTATCATAGTTCAGGATAAAATGAATCAGGAAGCTGGTGGTTTGTTTTGTTTTTTTGTTTTGCTTTGGTTTTTTGCAAAGCAGTTTAGTACCTGTGTAGTCATTTCATGGGCTCCAAGCTCTTAGGATTCCCTATGTTTTTATCCTTAATTACCTATGCTCTTTATACTCTTTTCCTTGTAGTCTTTTTGCAATAGTTTGGACACAGCAGACAACTCTTTCCTTTGAGTAATCTCTTCTCGTAGTATCTGTGATGCCATGAACTCCTGACACACACACACACGCTCTCTCTCTCTCTCTCTCTGTGACTAATTCTTCTTAGCCGCCTTCTTCAGCTTCCTTTCCACGATCCAACCGCTAAAATTTCTTATTTCTTCTACACTTTCTAAGGAGCCAAGCTCTACCCCCTACCTCAGGACTCTCACATATACTGTCTTCTTGGAACTCCCTTTCCTCCAGCCATTTTCTGTCTAATCCTCACTCTTTTTTCTTCCCCTATTTCTGTCCATGTATGAGGCCATTTGCTTTTCTCCACACACACCTTGTGCTTTCTTCTTCGTACTTAGGCTGATTCTGCTTCCTGCTGTGTAATTGCCAGATTCTGGTTTTCATTGCCTAACTAAAAAGCCATATTGATTTATGAAACTTTCTGTAATCACCAAAGATTTTTTAAAAATTCAAACCAATTAATATAATTCCTTAAAACTCATAGCTCTCTTCACATTATTTCCCAGTGTTAATTTTATGTAAATGCATTATATCCCTTATTCAACTGCAAACTCCTCAAAGGCAAGGGCCTTATCTTCAACTTAATTCTGTCTCCCATAGAACATAACATAGTATCTTCTACATAGTAGTCATACAGTAAGTATATACTATCAAACAAAGTGAAACGTTTCCATTATAGCTTCCTAAGGTTTCCTATTCTCATTTCAAAAGAAATGGAGAATTTAGAGTCTCTAGGATTATTGTCCTTGGCCTGTAAAGGTTTTTATTTGTGCCCAGATATGTAACTTGGAGTGAACTTTCTATCAAATGATCTGGGAAAGTACACCGCTTTCTGTTATCGAACATTTCTGTTATTTTACTTTTCAAGCTGAAAAGGGGAGATAACTTCTGTTTGCTTTGAGCTTTTGTTGATGGTTTTCTGCTCTGCCTGCTAATCAGGGTTGTATTATTTATCTTGTTTAAAAAGATTCATCTGGACATTCTCTACTTTGAATTGTAGTTGGATATTAATTCCCTGCTGCGGGATACGTTGGTAAAGATTTCTGAAATTGCAGGGAAATGTTTCTTTAATCCCTCAAGTTTGTTAAGTGCTTTCTTATAATGGAGATCATAATTTTCGAGTTGGTAGAAGGGATGAAACGGTTACTGGGGATATTTTTCCCTTGCTGGAAAATTGCTGTATTAAAAAATACTTCATCCAGTTTTGTAATCATTTCTATATGCTGTGTGGTCCTTAGGAAATAAGTAGATTCTTAGCACCCATTTCATGTTTTTAATAAGGAAGGCGTTCAGTAATGTTCAGGTCACTGTGATTCACAGAGTTAGTGGCCTGGGGTCTTTATTAGTAAAGCTTGAAAGTAGTTTTCTTTAGCACTGTGCACACACACGTAGCTGCTAGAATGCTTACAGGAGGCTGTGATTTGGGGAAACATGCAGTCATAGACTATCTTGAACATTCAGCATAAATTGCCAAACAGCCACAGATAGTGAATGGTTTGAGGGAACACAGGAGAGGGAGCCTTTAGGCATGAATACCCACATCTCCCTGATTTGTTCTTCCACACAGATCTTAAGGGTCAGTTTTGATCTGCACAGCAAATTAAGCTTCCTCATGACTTAGATTTCCGTTTTCCTCTGCTTTTTATTCATACTGAATAATTTTTTGTTTCTTTATAAGTTGTAACCTACTTTGGAAATGATAACACTGTGAATGCATTTTTTCCTTCTGTAGCATTTATGACATTGCTTGCTGACAGTTACTGTTTATTAAGTATTTGTGGCTTTTGGAGTGGTGAGCAATAGGGAGAATATTCAGGTCCAGCTAAGGGCATAAGATAGATAGTAATGATTTCTCATTCAAAAGGGTTATTTTGTTAAGACTGGGGCTGATCTTTCCTAATTTAACCTTGGATTGGTAGAAGATGGGGTGTCCCTGGCTCGTTGTTTTTCACTGCCCAGCACTGTTCGAAAGTTATCCTGAGTAGAATTAGGGGAGGGACTAGAGGATCTGTTTTCTGTGAATACAATAGGAAAGGCAGTTTTGAATTATCCAAATGGCCCCTAAATTCTGGGGGAAAATAAGATAACAACAACAATTTTAAAAACATCTACAACCTAGGTTCTGATATCCCAAAAAGGAGTATTTCAACTGTAATTCTCAGTATTTTAGAAATTAATTTATTGACAAATATCAATAGATATTATTCAGACTTCTCAAATATAGAGTTTTGAACTCAGGATTTTGCATCTCCTCTCTCTCCTAAAAGAAGTATGGCAATTGTACTTGCTGACCATGAGTCTTGTGAACTATAATACATACTTATAGGCACAAACACAGAAGCATACCCTCTCTCAAGCATCACTCAAATCTAAGAAAATGTGTTGTCTTATGTTTTAGCGAGTAACCAGCTCATAAATCACATTGAACAGTTTTTGGATACTAACGAAACACCATATTTTATGAAGAGCATGGACTGCATCCGAGCCTTCCGAGAAGAAGCCATTAAGGTATTGTTATCCTTGCATCTCTTTTCTTCCTAAACAGTTGGCCACTATCACAGGGAAAGAGGCATACAGCATCCCGGAAATGAGCCTGGGCCGTGGAAATTATCATTTTCAATGTGAATAGCAGTGCATGCCAATGGAACTAGAAATGACTTAAACTCATGTTACTATCACTGTCATTTCTGAGGTGGAATAAAGATGAGTAGGTAGGATGTTTTATCCCTGAAAGTTGGCTTTTTATTATACGGAAGCCCTGGCCTTTGCTTTCTTTTCCTATTTAGGGAACCAAGGAAATTTCCATTATAACCTCTGGTGGCCTGCTCTTTATTCTAAAGGAAGGGGTATTTTAGGGAAATTGATGGAAAATATATATTGGTATAATTAGTGAGAAAGATTTTATGAAGACAGGAGTAGGTATCTAAATGTCAGGAAAAAAAAGAACACTGAGCGTAAGTTCCTCCCATGCCTTTTGTGTGGGTTTTGTCTGTTTGATTGTTTTATTAGGAATTTTTAGAGAATATTTCTAAACATTTTCCAAATTTTGTATAGGCTTTTGTATCTTTAGGTAAGAAGTGAGCAAGTTTAAATTAGAAAGTATGTTTTTAAAGTGGGCACAGTTGTAGTGTATGTTCTTGTGTGGGTACTTATTAAATATTTGCTGAATGTATGAATGAATTAATGCTTAAATAATTTAGGTGTTTACAAAGAGTGACAAGAAAATAGAAAATTCATTAAAATTAGATTACAATAAAAGATCCAGAAGTAGATAACCTGAATACTCTTCAGATAACAACAAATTTTGGAAAAGTAGAGTCAGGACAAGCCTGCAGGTGATTCCGTTTGGTAGAGAAAGATTTGGTTAGATGGAGAGAGATAGTAAAAGTGTATTGTTTTTTTAAAGCACTACCCAGGCTAGATGGGGTGTCTTACAACACCTCTGTGCATGGTTGCCACCCAGTGTCCTTAAAAATACCAGGTCACGTTGTATTTCTTAAAAAAAAACAACAGAGAGAGAGAGGAGCAGAAGAGACTTCAGTGACATATCATTCAATCTTAATGGAGAGATTATTATTTTTTCTTTTTGTCTTTTCTTTCTTTTTTTTTTTTTTTTCTTGAGACAGAATCTGGCTCTTGTCGCCCAGTCTGGTGTGTAGTGACGGATCTTGGCTCACTGCAACCTCTGCCTCCCAGGCTCAAGCGATTCTCCTGCCTCAGCCTCCCAAGTAGCTGGGATTACAGGCGCATGCCACCATGCCCAGCTAATTTTTGTATTTTTAGTAGAGATGGGGTTTCACCATGTTGGCCAGGCCAGTCTTGAACTCCTGACCGCAGGTTATCCGTCCACCTTTCCTCCCAGAGTGCTGGGATTACAGGCATGAACCACCATGCCCGGCTTGAGTTGATAATTATTGAAGCTGGGTTATGGGTGTGTGAGCACTCACAAAATTGTTCTGTTTTTGTTTGAGATTTTCTACATTGAATGCTAAGAACAAAGGGCTAGGCCACCACAAAAAAACTGACTCTGGGAAGCTCTGTGCCTTCCACAGATGGAAGGATTTCTGGTCCCCAGTGAACACACCTCAGTTTGGAATGCCCCCTTCCCATGTACCAAAGAAGAACATTTTATTTTTTTGTAATAAGTAAGGTGCTTCAGAATATACAATACTTTGTTTGGTCTGGGGCTGAATTTGTTTTTGTGTTTGCTCTGACCTGCCGCCTCCTCTACCCCAACTTGCTACCACAGTTTTCAGAAGAGCAGCGCTTTAACAACTTCCTGAAAGCCCTTCGAGAGAAAGTGGAAATTAAACAGTTAAATCATTTCTGGGAAATTGTTGTTCAGGGTAAGTTGTCATTTGTCTTTTTCTGCAAATACTTAGGCTATTTTATTCTAAATATACATATAAATTCTAAATATAAACTATATTGTATAATGAGTTACGTGGGAAACATGATGACTTTCTACATGGCTTTGGGAAATGCTCAGTGTTCAGTGAACTCAAACTCTCCCTTAATAAGCATAAATACAAAGTGACAAATAATAAACAAACATGTAAGTTCCATCTTAGACTCTTTACTCAGTGTGACCTATTTCAGGGCTGTGCCTTTCTGTTTGTTGAATGGAGCAGCTGTGTGGGTGAACATTGTCCGCTTTCTCAGATCCTTAGGCAATTTCACTCCTGCTGGATCCACAGCCCTTTGGTTGACCTCACCCAGATTTTATCTCCCTGCTATTTTTCGGTTACCATTTACTTGGACTTTCCATTTCAGCGGACCAGCATCTTCATGCACCAAAACCATTCAGTTCCTCACTTGCACAGCAACCAATGCAAATTAAACTCAGAAAGAAGACAGCACACATTCTTTCAGTGTTAGGCTTGATCTTTGCTTTTTTTCATGCCCTTTGCCCCACCTTTTTTAGAACATGACCTGATTTTCTTTTAGAACCCAAGGATAAGATATTTCTTGTTTAAAATACATATTATGAAAATGATGATGTTTATGAGGCAGAGAAACTTTTCACTTATACTAGAGATGCAAAATTTGTTTCAGTCTCTCTTTGTGTGCAAATTCTGTATAAAAAGCGTTGCATACCTATCTGTCCACCTTCTAATGGGTAGCTCTTCATCACACAGGTAACCGTTTTTCTGACAGTTAATTTTTCAGCCCTTTCACTTCTGCACTGGAGAACAAAAGGAATTGGAATGGGTAGTGAAGGGTGCTTACTCAGATCACTTTTGTGTCTCTGCTGTTGACCCAGTAAATGAAGGAGATTGGTTTTGGTATTTATTGAATGCCTATAGCATATTTGCTGAAAAGGAAACTTATAGGACATATGCAAAATCCATATTTTCTGATAGCTTATATGCCACTGACAGAATACAGATGGCCAAGGCCATTCATAGGTACAAATAGATGTTAAACACATATGCTTTTCGGACAGTATGTCAGGTATCATCAGCCATTTGATGTAGGAAAATATCTTAAGAAGAAGAGCAAACTAAAGAGTAGATTTCCTACCCTTGATTTGCTCTTACTGAGCTAAAAATTGATGAACTATCCTAAATGATAGACATGCCCCTTGGTGAAGACCATGTTTTCTTCCTCCCTAGTCCTCTGGCCACTCTATCAATCGGCAGTAACATGGCCACAAGACAAAATGTATGCATAGTTCCATATTGGGCGCCTGATGGTTTGAACAAAAGCATTTAATTATAATTTATTTATTGAACTTCTGCTATGTGCTACAGTAAGTCCTCCCTTAACATTGTCCATAGGTTCTTGAAAATTCTGACTTTAAGCAAAATGACACATAATGAAACCATTTTTTTTTCTCATCAATGTTTTAATGAAACAACATTATTCAAGGACCTACTTTTGTTCCTTGGGAGGATCACTTGAGCCCAGGAGTTCAAGACCAGCCTGGGCAACATAGTGGGACCCTGTCTCTATTTTAAAAAAAAAAGAAATCTCCAACTCAAAGGTCGGAGGAGGTGTGGAAAGGAAAATGGGATTGGGGTTGTTTCTTTGTGTTTAGATGTTACTCTGAATTACTTTTTAGATGGAATTACTCTGATCACCAAAGAGGAAGCCTCTGGAAGTTCTGTCACAGCTGACGAAGCCAAAAAGGTATTGAGGGGTAACTCTTTGTCTTCAGTTGAATTATTATAGTGGACTTTATTTTCTTGATGCCCTCGAAGAAGTTAAATTTTTTGGGTAACTAAATGAGTGTACTCATTTTGTATTCAGTATGTAAATTGCTTCAATCACAGCATCCTCATGGGAGAAATTATAATCTTACTCAGTTTCCTGTAGGCTGTGGTTATATTTCTGGAACTCATCTGTAATCCCAGCTTCAGTACCTCTAGAGCATGCTGTTGAACTCCATAGTGCACAAACTTAGCCTCAGCCCTGGTAAAGGCTATGAAATTCACAGTGATTCCCACCCTGGCCACACATTAGTCACTTGGTGAGCCCTCCTTCCCTCCCTCCCTCTTTTTGTTGCTGTTGCTGTTAATACTGATTAAAAATTAGAATTACTCTAGACATTCTGTTAGTCTGAGATGGGTCCTGAGCACAGCCGGTTTGTTTGCATTTTAAAACCCCTCCGGTGATTGTATTATAAGTGAATAGAGAAACACTAGTATTCTAGCATAAGGGACGTCCAGGTATTTTCAGTAAAAGACCCTGTACAGTCCCCATGAACTTTTTATTCACACACATTGTTAGGCCTAGGCCTCCTTGTTAGGTGTGTATTGAATCTGATTCAGCCATGAGTCAAATACATGTAGTTATTTAGTTCAGTAATCCTTCATTGTACCTCAAGGTTGTGATGAAATTTTAATGAATTAAGTTGAATAGCTCAGAAGTATGTACTTCATAACATTCAATTTCAGTTACAGTCACTGACTAATGTAGTCCTGCTGGCACCTGACAGCTCTCAATTACTAAGCTTCTACAATGCGCTAGGCACTGTGCTGGATGATAAGACAGCACCCCTGTCCTCTAGAAGCTCAGGCAGTTAAAATGGAGCAGAGGGAAACAACAGAGACTCAGAAAATAACTATACACACTAAGGGAGAGCTTGGTCTGGGGCTGGTGGATAGGAATCTGTTAGGGAAGTGACAGACGCAAAGCTGGAAATGTTAATCAGAAGGCTAAATTCAGGCCAAAATTTAAATATCTTCAATTTTCAACTAAGTAAGGCATTTGGCAGAAACCATAGTATGGTTTGAAAGAGAAATTAAAATATACAAGAATTTTTATTAAGCACTTTGCCTAGCAAAAGATTTTTGTTAAAAAACAAAACAAAACAAAACAGATGTCATCCCTACTTTCAGGGAGTAGGATCCTGGAATTTTCAAAGCATACCGTAAGGTGGTGATTATATCTCAGAAGGGATTCCATGGTGTCTGTACCCTCTGCCACAGTCAGTACTGAGCACCATGGGCTTGAGTATGCCATTTAACTGTTCGGTTTTATTTCTGTTTGTCACTTTATACAATGTTTGATAATATCTCCTCCTCGAACTGGACTGTTTCAGTCAAGGTTCTCCAGAGAAATAGAACCAAGAGAACATACATGTGTGCGTGTGTGTGTGTGCACATACACACACACACACATATACACATATATATAGAGAGAGATTTATTAGCTGAATTTAAGAAATTGGCTCATGTGATTGTAGGTTTGGCAAGTCTGAAATTTGTAGGACCAAGCTAGCAGGCTGGAAACTCAGGCAGGATTTCTATGTTACAGTCCTGAAGCAGAAACCTCAGCTTTTGCTCTTAAGGCCTTCACTTGATTGGATGAGACCTACAAATATTATTAAGAGTAATCTTTGCTTAAAATCAGCTAATTGTAAATGTTAATCACATCTACAAAATACCCTTACAGCAACATCTAGTGTTTGATGGAACAACTGGGGACCATACCCTAGCCAAGTTGACACATAATATTAATTGTCACATGGCATGAAGACCTATCAATCAGTTTTTGCTAAACAAGTAAATCAGGAAAAATATTTTTTGTTGTTATTACATTAAGAAAATTTGTTATCCAGGTGACAATGGGGTACATATTCGTTTTTGGAAGAAATGAGGAGCCGTGACCTAAAAAAGCTTGTGTTTCCTCCCAGCAGCGTATCTTAGCCAACGTTAACCCAGAGTATTAGACAGGAAAGAAATCTGAAAACGGATGATGCACTTGCAAATTGTGCAAGGCTTGTTCTATAATGCAAATAGGATGTCTTCCTTGAAATGTAAAGGCACTGAGCCTAAGCATGAGGAATTTTAATGTCTGATGATGAAGCTATAGAAAGAAATTTCAGTTAATGACCGGGTAGGTATAAGATGGTGTCCTTAGATAATTCTGGTATCACCAGAACTGATGTCAGTTGTAGTTTAAGACAACTCTTCTGGAGCAGGAGAATCGCTTGAACCCGGGAGGCGGAGGTTGGGGTAAACTGAGATCGCGCTGTTGCACTCCAGCCTGGGCAACAAGAGCAAAACTCAGTCTCCAAAAAAAAAACCTCTCAAAATGTCACCATCTTTGAATAGAGAGAACATCATAAAAAACAAGTGGAGAGAATCTCTTCTACTTCAGCCATGGGTTGCCTTGCTCTGACTGGCCTCTTCTTCCTTTAGAGCATAGTGTTTCAATAGTCAAGGCACAGAGAGTATGCTTCCAGTACTACCAGCAACACTGAACTTCACTGTCATGGCAGATAAGAAGTTAGGAAATTCAACAAAAATGTATTGAGTACCAGCTCTGTGCTAAGCACTTTGATATATATTATCTCATAGCCTCCAAAAGAAGTACATTGCACATTCACCTAGCAGACTCTCTTTCACATCTAGAAAATGCCATTTCCTTTTTTTTTCCCCCACATTTATCAGTGCTTCAGCCAATGTAGTAGGTATGCCAGGTATTTATATAACTCTTTCACTTCTAAAGAACTGTTTTTGTATGGTGTGTACCTAGAACACTATATACATCATATCTAGATAATGGTAGAAAATAAGAGTAGTAGAATTTTACTTGTATTCAATTCCCGAACCAAAGAGCCCAGTATTATCTCTGTGATTCTCACAGTTATCTGCTAAGAATTACCAAGAGCAGGAACTACCATCCCTGTTACCTCTGGGAAGCCAAGTCCCAGAAAGGTAAAGGTTACACTTGGAGCTCACGGAGGTAGTAAGAGAATTAAAATGCATGTTCCTGTGCACCACACCAGACCTTCATTTTCAAGTGGATTAAGTTTTATAAGTGGAATCTTGGACCAGTCATTTCTAAAATACAGTAGTCCCTGTCTGCTTCATTTCAACAGATGACTTTCTGGGCCTAGAACCAGGTGGTGGTTAGAATAACCTGGAAAGTCATAGAGTAGACCCTGTAATTTTGACTCACCTTCAGTGTACACTGTATTATGTCTGTCAGTTCTTGTTAGTGTAGTGGTGAGTACCCCCCTACCGCCCGTCACTATATTGTGCCTGACTGTGAGATTATGCTTTTGTGTCTGCTTTAATATCACATGAACCCTTTATTTTGTTTTCCAGAGTGAAAACTTGATCTTTTGTATTAAAAATGCTTTATTTATTTAGAGACAGAGTCTCGCTCTATTGCCCAAGCTGGAGTGTAGTGGCATGGTCTCGGCTCACTGCAACCTCTGCCTCCCGGGTTCAAGTAGTTGTGCCTCAGCCTCTCGAGTAGCTGGGATTGCAAGTGCTCACCACCCTACCTGGCTAATTTTTGTATTTTTAGTAGAGACGGGGTTTTACCATGTTAGCGAGGCTGTTCTCAAACTCTTGACCTCAAGTGATCTGCCCATCTTGGCTTCCCAAAGTGCTGGGATTACAGGCATGTAATACCAGCCATTCCTGGCCTGAAAATGCGTTTAAATGGCATCTGTTGATTTTTGGAGAGAAGTGTAGAAAAAAGAGTATACATGTAGATGATAATGGGGAGAATTACGGAGGAAGATTCTGGCTCAAGGAAGCTGATTCCTTGTGGTTTTAATAGAAGAGACATGCTTTAGCTATTTCTCTTAGCCAAGTGAGAGAAGTATAATCCCTTTTGACCATGCACTGAAATATTCATTTATATTGCCTTCAAATGTTCAATTTGGTCACTTCCCAAATAATCATTTAAGGAAACTTGACTATAATCAGTGAGGTTAAAGAACAATCCTCACAGTCCATTTAAATTCTTTTGAGGTATTTCCCATAAGTTATTTAAAGTTAGCAAGCTGTCAAATTCTTGCTATTAAATGTTGACATTTGAAAGGAAGTAATTATCCAGGGATGTTCATTTTAAGTGAAAATTAAATTACAACTTTACATTTGTATAACATCTTAAGAGCTATTACCCTCCAGTGTGTTCTAGAAATATGTGGATTGTATGATCCTTTGAGAAATAGAAGGAAGTCAGCTCTGCTACAGAAATAGAAAGTTTTTCCATGGCATAAGTTTAGACAGTCACTTTCTTTTAAGTTTCCTGGTACCTCTCATTTAATTTTGAAACCTAGGCATAAATATTATCATTCTTTAATGTTCATTTTTATTATCGTTATAAGCTGTCAGTTCATCCAGTTTTTCTGTTTCTAGTTTGTATGATGGGATATGGCATTAGCATTTGCTCTTTGGTAGAATCTTTGTATAGCCTTTGTGTGCCCTTCATCTGTCAGTTCTCCCGGCTCTGTAGTGGGTAGAAGAGGTTGAGTGGTGTGTCTGAGAGCTCACAGTAAGTCACTGGCCTGGAATCTAGTTCTAGCACTGCCCTAGTCCTTCATTATCCTTTAGTATTGAGAAAGCAGTGAAGAAAGAGGATTTATCTCCATGGCATTGGGATCATTATTATTATTATTATTTTTTTACCAGATTCCAAGAGGCTGAGAGCTATGTCTAAATAATTATTTGATGTAAGCTCTATGAAAAAAAAATAGTTATTATTTTAGCTCTTGTTTTTCTTGTAACTGCCTAATTTATCCTTCTTTGTTGTTGATATTTATGGATTTTCCACCTTAGTATCACAGACATTAATAGATAGCAATGTGGCCATTTTACCAACACCCCTGTCTAGAGAGGTAAAGTTTTCTGGCTCAGTGCCTCACAGCAAGCTAGTGGCCAGCAGAATTGACTGGAATCCAGACCCCCAGATGCCTGCTACAGTCACCTTATCACCACACCATGGTGCCAACTCTTCACGCCTTCAACTTATAATGCCACCGACCACATCTACCTAGAGAAAGGATGCCCAGGCTCCCTCTGTCAAGAGGACATCCAGTTCTGTGTGTGAGAGCGCACAGGAATTCTCCAAAGCTTAGTGAAGGATTGAAGACAAAGGTTAAGAATCATTTCTTGAGAGCATTTTTGTCAAACTGCTGGCCCCTGTTGGACCCTATGACATTTTTCTTTGCTCTTTTCTGCTTTCATTTTCTGCCTTAATTCTCTGGTGTAGTTTGCTAGTACAAGAAAAGTAATAATGAAAATATCACAGTGTTATCCATTGTTTATTTAAGACTTGATACATTTAAGATATGATATTAAATTTTTTATTGAGGTAGAACATGTGTATAGTAAATGCACAGATCTTAACTGTGCAACTTGATAAATTCTTACACATTCATATACCTGGGTGCTCACCACCCAGAACAAAATAATAGAACATTTCCATCACCCCATAAGGCTCCCTGGTACCTTCCCAGTCAGAAGCCCCATCCCTCGAGGGAACCACTGTTCTGACTTCTGTCACTTGAGAGTCGTCTGGCCTGTTTTTGACCTTCATATAATTGGAATCATGCCTTTTTTCACCAATTATGTGATTATAGCTATGTAGTGTCCCTTTTATGGTTTTGCCACAATTTATTCATCCATTCTCCTAATGATGGACATTTGCTTGTTTATCCTTTGGCTTTATGAATAAAGATGCTGTAGATATTCTTGTACATATCACTTGGTGGACATATGTTAAGTGTATTCCTAGGAATTAGAACATAAAACTTACAATACCGTAAATACTTTTTCATACTTTATTTTATCTGAGACTCATACAACCCCTAAGATAGGTATGGTAAGTAGTAGTATTCACATTTTATTTTTGAGGGAAATTAGTTATGAAAAGGTCAGGTGGCTTGCCTAGGGTTCCTGAGAAACTGACAAGAGTTGTGTTCTCCACACTAGGCTACAGGATTTCCCTCTTGCACCATATTAGTGTTTATAGCATCCATTAAGCTACTAGTGGCATTAATGAAACCCAAATACATGTCATTTTAGGCAGAGTACATGCAAACTGACTTTTGATGCTTTTTTACACATCTAGATTGTGAGTAATCCTTTGGAATCACCTGATGGTGTTGGAAACAACCCAGTGGAAGTCATGTGTTTTTACTTTGGGGGTTGGTAAGGGTCTGAGCACAAGATGATAGTTTTTTAGTCTTATGGGGAGGTAGGACTGGCAGTTTCTATATAGAGGTTATTGATTTCATTTCTCTGCTTGTGGCCAGGATTATATTTCAGTGTACTTGTAAAGTAGTAGGTTATCCATTTCATAAAGTTCTTCAGGTAAGGAGGCACTTTAATGGTAACCCCGGGTAAGTGGTGGTGGTTTGAGGAAGAAGGAATATGTCACACACGTGCCCTTTCTATCTGTTCTCTACTTTCTCAGCATGTTGCAGAGGAAAGGAACACATGAAAAAAGATGAGAGTTGACTCCTACCCCTCTCTGCAGAAGAGATTCAGAGAATCTCTTGCTTTTATTGAGAAAGCAGGCCAGTCATTGAGTTCTCTGCTCTATCTTGCTTCCCTGTCACTGCATTGGCTGGAATTACTTACAGTTACAAACACTGATGATGAGGAGTGATATGTGGAAGAGATCAGCCTTGCCTGGGGCATTGGGAAGGATAATGGATGGCAGCCCAGCTTTTAAACATAATTTGCTTACACAGAAATGTGAAGCAGATCTGTCAGACAAATCAGTTGCAGACAATACTTAGCACTTGATGAAAATTTTTGCTGCTGCTCCTTTCTTCCTAGGAATTTGGCCTAGTCTCAGAGATGTACCATTTGTGCTTAAGTATATCTACCGTGGTCCTACTGTGCCACCAGTCCTATGTTAACTTATTCTTTAATTGCAGTGTGAAGGGGGCTTTGCAGGTTGGTAGGGAGTGGGAATTTGAGATTTTAGAATCGCAAATTCTAAATTTGGCTGAGTGCCAAAACACATCAGGGATTTTTCTAGATTCATCAATAAGTCCTTAAGTAAGGGGTCATACAAGGTGTAGTGGACTACAGAACCGTTGAGCCCATGGAGTTTTTCAGATGTTTGGAAGATACTGGTCATTTGTGGCCCCACAGAGATTAATGGCCGGATGCAACTCTGCTTTTTATTCTCTTGCCTCAACTGGATAAGTCTTATCCTGTAGCCATATAGTCGTGATATCACAAAAATCCTGCAGGGGTTAATGATAATGAGTAGGAGAGGAGAGGTACAACGTAAAAAGTATGATAATAACCCAGAAAACCCCAAATTAAAACCAATTTCAGTATCTAGGATAAAGTACAGTTTATTTAACCTTTACACATAAATCATATGCCAGTGAATGTATAGATTTTTTATTAATTTATCTGTATTTGGCTCTCAGATATCTTTATTCATAATCACCCAGAATAAATAGAATGAATGAAACAGAAGTTCCTTACAGATTGTCTGCCCCCATTGCTGGGATTTTCTGTCTCTTACATCATAGATTCTCAGTCTTGCACATGGCCCAGTTTAGGGTCAACAAAGGACTATGGAAAGATCCACAAATGTCCTTAAAAGAAGATAAATTCCTTATTCGCTCAGTCAAAAAAGAAGTTAATGAATAGTGAGGTAGTTTTAACTGAAGGAAAACAAAGTCCAAGAGAGTGGTTGAGTCAACAATTATGTCCATGGTGCTGACGAAGGCCCTGTACTTAAGGCAGACATGACCTCCATTGTTACCACTTTGTTACCTGTGTGTGTTTTTGTATATGAGGAATGGAAGGACAGCCAGAGCTTTCTTGCTTCCTGAAACTTGCTGCATGCAGCCTCATATTTCATGGTTGACTTTGGTTTGACTTTTTAAAGAGACATATTTTAGTTTATAGGTCTTAGGTTTCAGAGGTCATGATTGTGTCCATTGTACCATAAAAATAACAGGAATGTAGAGAATGGCAGTTCTTACCATTTTTTCATGTTGAGAGAGTGAGGAAAGTATAACTATACTTTTTCCTCTTGGGTGGAAGCAACTACAGGAGAGCATGAGTGGGCTGAAAGGTTCGCTTACCGCATACCTGCTCCATGCACTCTCACCCTGAGGAATGCCAGAATGCCTCTAGGGGCCAGCCAGTTGTGGTACCATAACTGACTCTATTTACTGTTTCTGGCCCCCAAATGAAAAGTAGGAGTGCCCCACCTTCCACTGCCCCCTCTAAAACACTCACTTCTACAGGCAGGCATGCTACCAGAAGATCACCTTCTTGTGTTAAGATAGATACGCATTGCTAGAACCCAGCTCTTAGAGGCAGCTGCCACATGCCTTGAAGGAAAAGGCTCCCCACTGCTATCCCTTGGAGGGACAGGATGGAAAAAGAGTGTTCAGATAAGTTTCAAGGGCACTCACCTGACTACCCTTTTAAAATCTGAGTGTCATTCCTAGATCCTCACAGACTTCACTTCCTGGACTTTTATTATGTATCTGTTTTTATTTTGTTTTATTATGTTTTATGAAATATCTGCCTTTCAGAAGCTCCACATCTTGAACAGTGATGCTGAACGGTTTTCTCATCCATTTCTCATAAGAAGTCCCCCTTGTACTGCTTTTGTCCACAGTGGAATTTAAGAATAGATTATTCTAATCTTTTTTTTCCCCCCCCGATTCTTCATCATTCAACTTGAGATTATTCTAATTTTGACTTGATTCTCATGCTCCTTTCAAAAGAGCATACTAGTTTGGGATGGTTGGTTATTTTCTTAACCTTAGCAAGCCAACTTATTTCCTGTGGGAGCAGAACTGGAAACAGCAGATGTCCACCATGCTTATACAGGACCCTACACATAGTTACTGTCTTGACAAGCCATGTCATTTCCTCCCTCTTCATGAGCACTTTTTCTGGTGATAACTTAGTATGGACTACTTGAACCTCAAAACTGGGCCTCTCACCCAAAGCCAAATAAAGGAACTTAAGCCAGGATGATGTTTCTTTTGGGCGGTTTGCAGTGAGACTTTGCCAAGCAGGCTGCCTTAGGTTTCCCTGTGGCAATGCTAGCAGATTGTTCCCTCCTTCAAAGGGGCAAAAATACCATTTTGGTGTGATAACTGACTTTCTATTTACAGTTTCTGGCCCCCAAAGACAAACCAAGTGGAGACACAGCAGCTGTATTTGAAGAAGGTGGTGATGTGGACGATTTAGTAAGTACTTTTAATATGCACCTGGTGTTCTGTGATTGAAGTCGCCTGAGCTGTAAATACAGCCACAAAGGCTGATTATCATAGACTCGTTGTTTGTTTGTGTTTTAATTTTCAATACACCGGAAGCTCCCTACACCATTATTAATTGCCATTATACATTTAATCAGATAGGTAATTTCATAATGGAAATTCCTGTGTTTCATGGTGTCAGCTATATTGTTCATTCAGATTAATCCTTTCCTTTGAAGGGCTGAAAAAGAACTAGGGAGGCTATTCCATTAGTAGCAAAATGTTGTAATTCATTGAAATTGCTCTTAGCCAAAAATAAGTAATACAACATGCAGTTTGTGTGGGTTGACAAATAAAAACAGCCTTTAAAAAGGCTACTTCTTAAATGTTTTCAATTAACTTAATGTAAACAAAATAGACTGATAGGCATTTGAGGATTTCTGGACCCCGTTACACCATGTTGTTGATGCCTGAGAAGCTGTGTAGTAAATATTGTCTTTTATATCTATCCTTAATGTTTAGAAACTTCCCGCCTTTAAGCTTCATATGACAACTGTCCAACAAACACTACATACTATGATGTCAACCTTTTTTAGAGACATTCTCATTACTAAAATGAGTGGCTACCTGGATGTTTAACTCCTAAAATAGTGAGCAGTGAATAAATGAGCAAGTACATGCATGTCTTCCAATGTAGAGAGTCATTTTCATTAAACCCTCTCTCACCAGAGAAGCAGTGGTATGAAATTGTCCTGGTTCCTTTCTAAGTGTGTTGTTCTTGTTTACAGTTGGACATGATATAGGTTGTGGATGTATGGGGAATCTAAGAGAGCTGCCATCGCTGTGATGCTGGGAGTTCTAACAAAACAAGTTGGATGCAGCCATTCAAGGGGAGCCAGAAGCTCAAGAAATTCCCAGCAGGTTACCCGAAGGCGGATCACCTAATTCTCTGTGGAATGAATACACACATATATATTACAAGGGATAATTTAGACCCCATGCAAGTTTATAAAGAGTCATTGTTATTTTCTGGTTGGTGTATTATTTCTTCTGTGGTCTTACTGATCTTTGTATATTACATACATGCTTTGAAGTTTCTGGAAAGTAGTTATCTTCTTGACCTAGTACTAGTATATCGGTGAAAATTGCAGCTCTTGTGATGTGATTAGTGTCTCATGTGGAACCATGGCACCGTTATTGATGAGTTTCTTAACCCTTTCCAGAGTCCTCCTTTGCCTGATCCTCCCAACAGCTGTCACAACTGATGTTGAGCAAGCAATAGCATTTGCTTCCTCCCAACAAGCAGGTGGGTTAGGAAAACCATGGGTAACGACGGACTCACTTCTCTTTGTAGTTGAGGCCTTTTAGTTACCACATTACTCTGGCTGTATATATAGGTGGTTTTCTTTAAGTGGGGTGGGAAGGGGAGCACAATTTCCCTTCATACTCCTTTTAAGCAGTAAGTTATGATGGTGGTCTCATGAAGAAAAGACTTTCTTTTGGCCCAGTCTCTGCCATATCAGTGAACCTTTAAAAACTCAAAAACTGAGAAATTTACTACAATAGTTAGAATTATATCACTTTACGATTCTCTACTTGAGAGCCTCAAGGAGAGAAAGTTTCGTTATATTAAAACGCTTGGGTAACTTTTCGGTCTTTCCCATTTCTACCTAAGTCAACTTTCATCTTTCTGGATGATGTCTCCTTTACTAAATAAGAAAATAACAAAGCCCTTATTCTCTTTTTTTCTTGTCCTCATTCTTGCCTTGAGTTCCAATTCCTCTTTGCTTGGTGTACAGACTTCTTGGTGCCCAGTCACCTCTGTCTTCAGCACCCTCTTAAGTGGTCGCTAATACACTATTTTGTACATGTAACATTAAAGGCATAAATGACTCGTTTCTCTGTGAATTGCTGCTAATTATTGTCTGCAAAAGACTTCTTCAGTGCTCTGCTGAGAATTGAACACCCTTATCCATTGATTGAAAATGGATCTGCAAGGTAGAACATCACTCATTTAGCTGAGGAGAGAAAGGAGTGCTTTACTTTGGGCTTGTAGGCCATCCTGTCAATACTCTACACACTTGCATCAAACTTGACATACAGGTGCCCATTTAAAGTAACCCCAACAGAGGATGACATCATAGTTTCTGGTTAGTTAAAGCCTAGGGGTTGTTTGTGACTTGGACAAAACTGAGACATTCTTAGAACCACAGAGTAGAAACTTTTATCTCTGAAATCTTCATTACTCTTATCAGATCCTCCCAGCAATATGAATCAGATCAGTAAGTATGGCTCTGTCAGCAGCCCCTATCTTTGGCAGTTTGGGGAATTTCTTTTTGGAAACATCTGTCTTTTTGTCATGCCAGGAAAAGTTTAAATCAACTTAGTCCTTTAGATCTTCTGATACTTTTTGACTTGGTTTGAATGTAGCAGGATTATTTGTGCTTCTCTAACCCTGTTTCACCTAAATCTGAATACCTCAAGGAAGAAATTAGTTTCACAGGCTAAGGAGAGAAAGAACTAAATGAGTCATGTACTTTCCAAATCCATTTCATACAGGCACAGTATATGTGCTATGTAGACTTCATCAGAGCGTACTGTTTTGAGGAGGGACAGCATGTTTTGCATGAACACATGAAAGTCCTGTTTCCCTGAAATGAGATTGGCAGATCTACAGAACTCCCAGGTGTTCGGCTGAGTGTAGCCTTGGAGGACAGCAAGTGCTGTATTGTCCTCTGTCTGCCATGGGCTGCCCCTTAGAAGCCCAATAATCCCACAAATGATAGGCTTATCTGTAATTGCAAGTCACTGACTGTGGAGCTCCCTGTCACCTTTTTCTTCTATGTCACTAAAATTTGTTGAGTTGAAAAGGAGTCATCCTCTTTGTGACCCCCCCCCACCCCCGACCCAAGTCACAACTCAGATGACATGCATTTCCAAATGCCCCCTTGACGGTATGTGCTGTCCCTCATTAAGTATCACTATTTTAAATGTTGGGTTTTAATCCTTTGCCAGTTAATTTACATAAAAGATTTAGAATCTTGGAAAACTAATTGAAAAATCGTGTTGGGATTAGGCAGCATTTTTTTTTCCCCAAGTCCAGGATGACTTTGAAGATAAATAGACACAGATCTCTCCTTCTGTTTTGATGATGTGCAGTGCTAATGACTGGCTTTGCAGTTAATTTTGGTTCAGGCAACAGATGTTCTGTTTGGTTCCCTGTCTCCCGTGGGCGTCATTTCATGTTGTCCCCTGCCTTCCCCCAGATATTCTAAGTTCAGGACACAAGCTTGTGGCCCATGCAGAGCAGATGCCATGAGGGGACACAGCATGAGTACAGGAGGAAACACTGGGCTAACCCAGATACTGGACTTGAGTCCTACTTCTGCTGCTTGCTGCATGGCTTCTGTCACGGCGCTAAACCTGTGACCTGCCTCACAGGCTTAGTAAGAGCATGCCCATAGAAGTACTGTAACCTAAAATGCTTTCTACAAATGAGATGGTTTCATGAAAACTTCAAATCCAGGACCTGGGAAGAATATAACCTTTTTTTTTTTTTTTTTTTGAGATAGAGTATCACTCTGTCACCAAGGCTGGAGTGCAAGTGGCTCGATCTTGGCTCACTGCAACCTCCACTGACCAGGTTCAAGCGATTCTCCTGCCTCAGCCTACCACGTAGCTGGGATTACAGGCATGCACTGCCAAGCCTGGCTAATTTTTGTATTTTTAGTAGAGACGGGGTTTCTCCATGTTGGCCAGGCTGGATTCAAACTCCTGGCCTTAAATGACCTGCCCGCCTCGGCCTCCCCAAGTGCTTGGATTATAGGCATGAGCCACTGCACCCAGCCACATAACAACTTTTAAATAGGTCTGCTGCTGTTTTTTTATTTTAACCTTATTTCTTCTAAGACCTTGAGTATTCCAGTGCTGTCTTCTTTGTAATCATCTATTGTTATTGGACTTAGGTTTTCTTAGTTATATATAAAAATTAAAGTCTCCATGTGATCAAAGGTAAGGGTAGGACCCAGGGTAGGTTTTCTTACTTTTAACAGGGTGACCATGCATTCCAGCTTACGGAGGATGGATTGTTGACCTAGCATAATTAATAGTGCTCTTTTTCACTCTCAAAATTGTCCTGGTATGGATTATAGATTATATGGTCACCCTAGGTTTTGATTATATTAAGTTAGTATCACAACCAGGGCCCAGGGAATGGTCATATCCTGCCTTGCCACCCACCCCTCTCCTATTAACTCCCTCCTGGAGCCAAATGCACAAGGAGCAGACAGCAAAATGGAAACCAACATACTGCCTTGTATTAGCTTACTTCAGAGATCTTTGGAACAGCTAGGTTGTGGCTCATGGCTTAGGTTTGTCATCTGCCTCCTACATCCAGATCTTACCACCAACTGACTGCCAAGCCTAAGACAGGGAAGAAGTCTCATTGGGCCTGCTTGGAAAGAGTAGGCCCTTGGGCACGGTGACTCATGCCTGTAATCCCAGCACTTTGGGAGGCAGAGGCGGGTGGATCGCTAGAGGTCAGGAGTTCAAGAACAGCCTGGCCAACATGGCGAAACCCCATCTTTACTAAAAATACAAAAAATTAGCTGGGCGTGGTGGCAGGCGCCTGTAATACCTGCTACTCAGGAGGCTGAGGCAGGAAAATCACTTGACCCTGGGAGGCGGAGGTTGCAGTGAACCTATATCACACCACTGCATTCCAGCCTGGGCAAGAGAGCAAGACACCCGTCTCAAAAAAAAAAGTAGGCCATGGTCCTTGTGCCTGGTTGACAGCATGGAGCAGGAAGTGGAAATGTATATGATGTTTAAACAATCTATTAGGGATTTTAACGACCTGTAATAAATCTAGCTCAGTCTCCAGCCATTTTTGTAAGTCCTACCTATAGCAGGCAGGGGAATATTAGGAGGGCGATGGGGAAATAGGGCTTCCCCCACCCTGCAGTTTTACCCCATATAGGTCAGTTCACCTGATCAGAAGTAGAATTGCTAATCCCTGCTTAGATAGTTGGCTTTCTACAGTCAATTTGGAAAGGAAAGAAATGCTCCTTCATTTAAACGTAACCCAGGACTACACTTCCTTTCAAGAGACATAATGACATAGTGCTTTAAATAGCCACCTGGATGTTAGATATTTTAGGTTTATTAAATCCAGATGTCAATAGCATTTAACAGTTATGTGACCTTCGCAAGTCCCTTAACCCTTGTAAGCAACAAAATAAATCCCATTTTATCTGTGGGCAGGGTGGCCCAGGAGAAGACAGGACGTTCTCAGCCAAAGGGAACTCACAGGAGCTGCTTGACTATGTGAACGGGTACTGCTTGGAGTGTTGAGAAAGCAGCTCCAGACCCAGGCCCTGTCCACAGCCTTCCATTTTACATTGCCCAGGGCCACTCACCTTTGCACTGCAGCTTGTATTGTGGGTAAGGACCCTGGCAGACCTGGAATGGGGGTCTTAGCATGGGTAAGTCTGAATTTCTCTACACCCCTCCCTGTTACCTTTTCAGTATGCTGGGAATTATAACAGCTTACAGGGTTATTGTTAAGATTAATGAGCACATACTGCTAACAGCATATATTAATAGCTTGGCAAAATAGGATGAAAACTAAAATTTATTTTGCAGCAGAATTTCCCTTAGGAACAGATCTGGTTTGTTGGATAAATACGTTGATGAACTACTTGAGGCATTGCAGTGGCACCAAGATAGAGGAAAGCAGAAGGAAGATGGCACTCTGGGGGAACTTGGTGGTAGGGGAGATGTTCTGGCTGCTTACTGGCTTTGGTGTTGATAAAGATTATCTTTAAATAAGGGGAGAATTTTAGAGATGGAAGTGGGTGAAGACAACAGCAATGGACAGCTGCAGGGGAGGGCAGCTTTAGGGGCTTGGGGAAGCACAAATGTCCATAGGCATCCTAGTCTTAAGTTATTCTGTCTGGGATGAGTGAATTTTCATCTCCCCACTGAGTATTCAGTGCAACATGCATTTCACTAATGTGCTTGGAGTTGGTATTTTTAGGGGATGCATATAAGTGCTGTGAATGTGACCTGTTTCAAGGAGGGCAAGGGTGAAAACAAGCTGCCCAGAGAGTCTGGTCATCTCTGGATTATGTGCATGCCTTGCTGTTTCGACCTGAAATCATCAAATGTAGGTGATAGCAAACTCTGCTCCTCCTTAGGTTGAACGTCCATGCCTCCCCTGTGGCCAAAATCAAGCCTCGTGTCATTTCCCCATTCAGAAGTAAGAACAAAAATGAACTCTATTCTTGAAAATAACTGGATAATAGCTTGACCAGGAAAGCACTAAAGGTAGCATGTGTGAGACATTTGCCATTGCCCAGAATTTTAAAATTGCATTCCAAGCTGTTGGATTTGAGTTTGATTAAGTGAGGCCAAACTGGGGCAAGATCAAATACACTGTCAAAGAATTAAACACATATCCATGTGGCCACATCACTTTTGTTGTTTGTTTCAAGGATGCTGTGTCTGTTACTGGGGTTAAGACTCTTCTTGACTGAGGGATCTGCTCTGGAGATGTTGAAAACAGGAAACGATTTCTCTCTCCTTTCTCTGGTGTCTTCCTACTCACATTAGAAACAGTCTTGCTCAGAGGCAGAGGGTGAATCCCTGGCAGATCTTGACAATCTTACATCATATGTGCATGACTTTTCTCTATCTCTGCCATAGTAAGAATACTAGGCTGAAAAATAGGTTCCCTTTCTTATCAGTTTGTGTTGACAGAAGTTGGCAGATGGTAGGAGTGAAAGGGAGTCTTAGGGCATTTCTGAAGCCAGATGGTACAATACCCCAGCTCCACCTGGGAATGTCTGATAGGAGCTCAAAACAAAACAAAACAAAACAAAAACAGCAGAAGCTCTC